AATTATGTGTCAAGTAATGTATCATCTTATTTAAATTTATTGATATGAATGCAACATCAGAAACATATCATCATCCAGGTCAACGAATTTGTTTTAATATTCTTCTCTTTACTAATAACTATTATTTGCACAAACATCATCTTTTTCATAACTGAACCTATTTCCTTTTCTCCAAGTAACCTTAATACCAAAAGTCAAACTTGGCTTGTTGAACGCACGTGCTTGTCATCATGAATGAGCACTTCCTTCCTTCACTCAAGCTAACTTCCCTCCTTCACAATTATCTTCTCTAAACCCACCAAGACCAATATTGGCCTCATCATAAAGGTAAAGTTGTTTGCTTGTTTGTTGAACACGTGTCTATCATCCACGAATGCACACTTTCCTCTTCACTCAAGATACCTTCCCTCCTTCATAGTTGTCTTTTCTAATACCATCAAGACTAGCCCCTCCACCACACCTACTTTTCCTCTTTTACTCAAGCTCATCAACTTATCGATACCCATAATAGATTCTATGCCTACTTACTAAGCAAATAATAATTATTATTATTATTCTAGAGTGGTGTTTTACACACCTGATTGGTAGAAAAAAGTAGCCCCTCCATCACACCTATATTCATTAAGTGATTGTACAAAGATTTCGCCGTGAAGGAGCCATTTTTATTAAGTTTCCAAACAAGCTTACCCCCTTCCTGGTTCAATTGAACAGTAGTTAGGAGTTTTAAAAAGGCTTCATATTCCTCTAGCTCCTAATTATTGAGATTTTTACTCTCATTAACCATCTACTCCCTTCTAGTGTCATCACCCTCATAAGCATCCATAATCATCATGTTCTTTGCTTGGGCAATGGCAGAAACATGTTGGAATTGATCTTTCAAGCTACTGTCTCCCAACCAAGTATCATGCCAAAGGAGAATCTTATTCCCTTCACCCACCTTCCAAGTGATACACTAATGAAGAAACTAACTTCTCGCCTAAATACTCTTCAATAACCCTAACCTAAATGATCTCCCTAACTCCCTAGTCATCACCCCCCCTCCCCAATAACCCCTACCTAGCCTTTGTCACCCTTTTTCAAGCATTATTATCCTCATTCAAGTATTTTTAAATCTATTTCTCCTACAATATCATATCTAATTCATCAATTAAAGGTTGTATATATACATTTAACTTATTACCTGAACCTTTTTAAGTTAAGAATAAGTAATGATAATATAAAATTAAGTATTCATACATAGCCATGGAGGTAAATTATTTGATATTAGTATCACAAATCATTTGTTATGAATGACATTCATAGTCTTGAATCGATTAAATCCATCAGTAGCTAACCCTAAGCAAATACTACGAGGGTAAAGAAAGAAACCATAATATTTAATATGAAATTTTTTTTCGAGCCTTAGAATATGCAAGGTACCTTAAAAATCCATCCTTTATACAACTTTCTTTGTGTCATTTCATAAAATAAGTTGTCCTTAACGAAAAAAATAATTTTTGAATCCTCGAGTTTAAAGGAAATCAATCCAAGACCTTTATAGGTTTTTGTTTCTCTTTGTTAAAAGTTAGAGAAATAGTGTTCATCATTCTCATTTCCACATTTTCTTAACCTAAATGCATGACACGCAAAACAATTACCATAATTTTTTTACTTTCTTTCTAAAATAATATACTATCATTGGAACATACATGGATATTTTCCTGCGATAAATCTAGCCCTCTCATGAGCTTCTTCACTTCATAGTATGCTTCTACTAACAAGTTTTTCTCAAGTAATGTGTCTTCTTCTAACTCTAATAACATAAAAAAAAAATAATTTATTACTCCATCCGTTGATATATTTTTAAATAATATAAATGCACAATAAAAGATAACTTAGTACATTTTTTACAATTTGGACATAATTTTTGTTAGAAATCTTTCATGAGATGATACAAGGTGTAAGTAATTCCATCTCTATATTGTTTACCATTCTCATCTCTTGCATGTTGTCTTGAAGTTCATCTTTAAATTATGTATTAACATCATTGCTATTAAATTTTTCATCATCTTCTACTATGTGCATCGAAAAACTATCATGTAATAACCCATGGATATCATGGGTCAAACTCTTGTGGAACTCAATGGTTCCATCACCTGAGGTAGATTCATTTAAAATCTCCATGTGAAATCTCCATTGAGTGTAACTTCTAGAAAGGACTTTGCATATTACATAATTGAAGCTTATTCCTTTGTGTGCAAAGTCAGTTGATATAAACTATATTTTAGTATCTAATTTTGTTACTTTAGATGCTTTTGTCAAAAGTAAAATTAAGAAAACTGGCAATTCCTAATATATCTTCCTTACTTATTCTTGAGAGGAGATATATCCAACTTTTATCCATTGATTAATATGAGAAACTTGAAATATAAGTATTATATAATATTAAAGGCAATACAATATTACATTAAAGAATATCTCAAACTTTGAGAGCTATAAAAAACAATCAAAGTAATAACAATTTTAGCGAATCTTTACATGAGAAAATAATAATAAAATTAAGAATGAGGCAAGTAATAAACTCATGATAAATGTGAATTAGGCTATATCAACATTCAATTAGGCTTTTTAAATTTGATTTAATATCTAGGTAAGCATTTTGTTGATCTACAGATAAGTAATCTTTTGGCATATAAATGATTCTTTTGTCAATCTTGCTCACTCATATGAAATAATAATATATTTTTGTACTTCTTACCAAACTTTAGTTTCTATCCATTTGCATCTCCAGAGAATTTCATTTTGATTTACTAATGTATCAATAATTTCATATCTTAAAAGGTTTCCACTCTAATGCGGAACTCGAGGATCAAAGATTACATCCAGAATCCCACATATATATTTAGCATAGATAACTTAGAACTTTAAATAAATCCTCTATACCAAATCCACAACTAACTTGTAATTGAGAACTTGGGTGATTGAGATAAAAAAAAAAACAAGAATGAATAAATACAACAAGATAACTTGATAAGTTAATTCGATTCTTGATGCAACAAAAAGAATAAGAATTCTCACTTGTCAAAGTTCTAACGAGGACAATGGAATTTTTTTAATAATCGAAGTGTATCATATTATATTGTAAATGAGATATTTATAAGTTGAAACACCTAGATTCTGCAAAATGATCATAATTAAATGACCTACAGAAATATGAATATAATTTAAATGATATAGGAAAACATAATATTAAATGACATAGTGGAACATGGTACTAAATGATCTAGGAAAACAAATATAGTATTAAATGATATAGGAAAATATTGTATTAAATGACTCAGCGGAATATACTATTAAATGACCTAAGTAAATATGGTATTAAATAATCTAAAAAAATGTGAACATAATATAATTATCTAAAAGATGACCAAAATAATCCTATACATTCATTCTAAATTATGACCACACACTTGGACGACATTAATGGTCTTTTTTGACTTCTTTATTCTTTAAATAGTTCGCATGTGTTAAATTCTTATTGTATCCATATTTGTATAAAGTCAAAAATATTTTATGAACAAACTAGGACAAGCTACAAACTAATAAGAAAAGCTGTAAAGAGCCTAAATTTTATGATTTAAACCATTAAATTATCATTATGTTTAAACATATCTTATGTTATCTCTTAAATTGAAATAAGTAATGCTTAATAGACAGCATGCTGTCATCCTTCAATTTTGTAGTATACGTCCAAAACCCATTTCCCCATTAAAGAAAAACCATGATTCCAGCAAGACATAATCTTGCATAATATTATATTATTAAAGTATGGAATCAGCGGAGAGCCTATAAGCTATATCAGCATTAAGAGTCTCACTTTCCTCAAACAACGTCCCCCATAAGAAGCATTTTCACGAGACTAACTACGGTTGCAAACTGTGAGTGGGATTGATACTTATGAATAAGCTTTGTACAATACGCAAAATAACAAGAACCCAAACAGAATAAGCTTAAAAATGACACTTATCTAACCTGGATTCGAGCCAGAGCTTCCTTCCTTGTGCTCTTCTTCTTTGAATTCTACGCTTACTGCTCCAAACCGCTCTCTGCTTCCTGTAAAAAAACAATGAGAAAAGATCTTTCTCTGTCAAAAAAACTTCACATTCCCTGAAGATTCATTCTTTTCTTCTACCTCTTTCTCAAAAACTTGTACAAAAATTCTAAAATCTAAAACCTTGTAAAACTCTCTTTGGTTCCTTTCACCTAATTTTGGCCGTAAGTTTGACGAAGGAAGAAGGTGTGTTGAAGGAAAAAGAAGGAAGAAGAGACGTGCGTCTATTCCAAGGAAGAGAGAGAGAGAATGGGTTAAGTAATTAATTAATTAAGGTAAATGAAAGTGATTAAAATAATAATAATCCGTGTGAGTGTGGCTTGATGGAAAGTTTGTCTTAAATATTGTGATTTAATAATTAAAAAGTTTAATAAATGCAATAAATGTTGTAATATAAATCTACTATAATATATATTTTTTTAAATAATTAAATACAAATTTTGAAACAGTCACTAAAATTTGAATTTGGAATAGCCAGCAAAATTTATTGTCTTGGTTGTGGAAGTTTTTTGGAAATTGAAATAAAAGTAAAAAAAGATTAAAAATCTTTCTTATAATTAAGGGTGATTCTTTTCCCTCCAGTTATAATGAGAAAACATATTTTGTTGTGTGTTTAGGAAATGCATTGATATGTAGGAAAGCGAATTTCATATCCATCCACCTTGAATGGACACGCACCAAACGGTGGATTTTATGATTTAGAAAACAAAGTTCAGTCATTATCGCTAATTAATTAATTAATTTTAAAAAAAAGGATAACCAACCACACAATTATTTAGCAATTAATGATTCACATCAATTTTCTTAAATATTTTTATTTATTTATATAAAAAAAAGATTCAAAATTAAATAAGGACTATGACCAAGATTATACCAATCCAACCCCAACACAACAACCAATGCGGCTGAAAAACGTTTCAAACGAATATGCGCACGTGAAACCCATGCCGGACCAATCAGTCCATTTCACCGGCCACCAATCTTAACCGGACTGTTGACTGCTCAGTCATTGCAGTGTGCAGGTACCAGATTGTACCTGATCACATCTCGACCGTCCACTGGGACCACCACCAATGTAAAGTGCCGGAATCCCACCAATATTATTAACACGTACTCCCTGCATCACCCTCCATTACGATCTTAAAGTTTCTCTCCGTATTCTTCTCCTTTCTCCCGATACCAAATCTTTAACACCCGAACAGTCAGCAGCAGCGATGGCGGAAGCTTCTACATCGCGTGAATCTACCACCCTACTTTCCCCTTACGAGATGGGCAAGTTCCACCTCTCACACAGGTCAGTCAATAGATTATTAACTTGCCCGTGTTTCAGTGCTTTGCTTTTTGGTATCGGATTCCATGATCCCTTTTTCTTCATGTTTTGCTGCGAGTTCCTCGGATTTTGAAAAGCCCGTGAGAAATCCCTGCGAGTCGATCGATTTTTTTTTTTTTTTTTTTAATTTTAAAAAGTATCAGTTTGTAACTGCGGAAATTATATGATTTGTGTTTGCACTTTCGATGAATTTGGCCCCGTTTTCCTAGCTAATTATAGTTTGGAGGGGTGTTTGTGGCAGGGTGGTGTTGGCGCCAATGACGAGATGCAGAGCGTTGAATGGAATTCCAGGGCCAGCTCTTGCGGAGTACTATACACAGAGGTCAACTCCTGGTGGCTTCCTCATCAGCGAGGGCACTAAAATCTCCTCAACAGCCGCCGGGTAATTTTGTTATTTCAATTATTTTCAAGGGCTTTGAATAGTTATCCTTATACTGTATATTGGTTTCCTAGTTGAGAAAAATAAAAATAGGTGGCTATTTTTGGGTTCGGCTGGCCGCCTCATCTCTTTACGCCTAGAAAGCTGCCGATTGGTTGTTTGCTTTGTTACTCCAGATTTTGGATCTGGATCTTCCTGAATTGGCATGGGCTAATGTGTTAATTCGACATTAAAAAAATTATGAAAGATCCCATACTTCTAGTCATAAAAGATAATATTATTTTACATACTTTTGATACTATGTATCACTTTGGAACTTTGTTGGTAGTTTTGGCTGGAGTGGCACATCGTGACAAATTGTTTCTGATGTTGTTACTGGTTGGAATAGGTTCCCTCATGTGCCTGGTATTTACACCGAGGAACAATTAGAGGCATGGAAGAAAGTGGTGAATGCCGTCCACGCCAAAGGAAGCATCTTTTTCTGTCAACTGTGGCACGTTGGCCGCGCATCTCACCCAGGTAATGCCTCGCTCAGAAACAGAAAATACTATTTGTAGTTTATTATGCTGATATGGTTAATAAAATTTACAATTCTAAGTTTAATAAATATTGATGTTATTTTAATGGGTTAATCTGATGAATGAAATAGTTTATCAACCGGATGGAGGAGCGCCTATATCATCCACCAATAAACCAATATCAGGAAGGTGGAGAATTCTGTTGCCAGATGGATCCCATGGCAAGTATCCAAATCCTCGAGCTTTGGAAACCTCTGAAGTCTCAGAGGTGGTCCAGCATTATCGCCAGGCAGCCATCAATGCCATTCGAGCAGGTTAGATCAACTATCTCGGCTTCAGTTAGTTTCTTAATTAGCATTGGCGTGTATTTCTCATGTAGATTAAGTTATATATTAACTAAAGCTGAGTCTATTGTCAAGGATTGTCTGCTTGAATTTCCATTCAAAGGAGACTGGCTATTATATGCATCAGAAAACTAGTTGCAAAAATGGTCTATAGAGATGAAACCATAGCTGCTATCTGCACCTGGGATTGTCTTTTGGCTCATAGTGACATGGCAAAACATTAGTGACAATGATTATGCCTCTTTGCAGCTATTTCCTAGGTAATATCTTCATGGTATAAAGGTATTGAAGGTTATGATAGTCATGACAGTGCAAGATATGAATCTCAATCTGTCATGCCAGTGCATGTACTAATGGACTTGAGCCATCCATCGCATGTAATTGGGACTTGGGAGAAAGATGAGTCTGACTTGGAGTTGGCAGGAGATGTACCTATTAGAATAACTACGTATATTTGTGTAAAGTTGTTGAAAGATCCAGTGGGTTAAAAGAGGAAACCATAGACTTGAGAAGTGTTTAGAGTTTCAATAGGATTTTCTTGGCAGCTTTTTGAAATTAATATTATCCAAATGAGAGCTTGTTTTCCAAATGAAATTGTGTTTCTGTACTGTTATGTTACTTTTGTAAATCTCTTGTCTTGTCTTGTCTTGTTTGTAGTCTGGTCCAAATTATGCTACTGATTGGTTAAACCTTCTGATACAGTGGAATAGTTTATAAGTCAATAACAACCTAAATAAACCGTATAAACTTAAATAGTGAATTCTGTTGCAAGTTAATGCACGCACTTATCATACTTTAGACCCAGAAATAAGTTTTTACTAACCTGATTTGTGAACATTTCATGTGTGCCATCGTACTAAATTAGCCAATGACTTTCGTATGATTTCTAGGCTTTGATGGAATTGAGATCCATGCGGCGCATGGCTATCTTATTGACCAATTCTTAAAGGATGGGATCAATGACCGGACAGACAAGTATGGTGGACCAATTTCAAATAGGTGCAGATTTTTAGTGGAGGTTGTTCAAGCTGTTGCAGCAGCCATCGGGACTGATCGAGTTGCTGTAAGAATTTCACCTGCAATTGATCACCTTGATGCCACAGCCTCTGATCCACTCCACCTAGGCTTGGCTGTGGTTGATAGACTTAACAAAATACAGCAAGAACTGGGCTCAAAACTTTGTTATCTCCATGTGACTCAGCCTCGTTACCATGCTTATGGCCAAACAGAAGCTGGTGTACATGGAAGTGAAGAAGAAGAGGCTCAGCTAGTGAGGGCCTTGAGAAGAGCTTACCAGGGAACTTTTATGTCTAGCGGTGGGTTCACTAGGGAACTAGGAATCCAAGCTGTGGCAGAAGGTGATGCTGATCTTGTATCATTTGGTCGCCTTTTTATATCAAACCCTGACTTGGTCTTCAGATTTAAGGTGAATGCACCTTTAACTAAGTATGACAGGAAGACATTTTACACCCAAGATCCTGTCCTTGGCTACACAGACTATCCTTTTCTAGGAAAAGAGAGAAGGAATCAGGTACCCCAATCCCGCCTGTGATTTGAAATTTTGAATGTTATCTATATATAAAATTTTGCCATAGAAGTTGATTATTTGAATGTAACCAATTGTTGAGAATCCTACTATAGAAGAATGAAGTGTTCTGAGTCGCTGTTACTGCTATGCTATAGTTGAGAGTTTGATTCACCCGTGTCATTAAATTTTGTGTTTTGCCGCATTGTCCAAATTGTCAAATGTAAAAATTATTAACTGAGAGGATTAAACAGGTTGCATCTTTATATTGCAAAGTCCAAAATGTTGCTTCAAGTCTCTGAAGTTCTAGATTCTTAACGCATATGGCAAAGTTATTATATTCCCGTCCAGGTTCATCCCATCATACATTCCTCGGAGGAAAGCTTCCTCAATGTCATCAAACAAATTATAGTAATGGTTCTTTAGGTTCAATTTTCATTTCATAGTTGATTTTTATTTTAAGATTTTTCATTATAGTATTGAATGTCCTAATTACTATCACTTGGTTCTTGAATTTCATGACGCTAGAAATTCAATTCCTAGAATCAAGGAGAGAGTTGAAGTAATTTAAATATAAATATATATATATATATATATACATAGTAAGACTAAATGAAAATTAAATGAGAACTAAAGGCATGTTAGGATAAATAAATATATTTTATAAAAGATTAGAGTACCTTTGAAGAGAAGAAGTAGACAAATCAATAGAATTTCTCTGTTGAACCATTATAACCCATTTTTTATTTTGATTTAATTCCAGTTTTCTGTTTTTAATCTAGTTAAAATTTACTAGAAAAAAAAATATATAATTATACCTCTTATAAGTTATCTTATAGCCATAATTTTATATATTATTAATTAAATAATATATATATTTTATTATAATATAGATGATATATAAATATGTACAGTTCTATTTAAATCCACAGAATTTTTCTAGAGAAGAGTAGTAAATCATTTAATAAAAAACTTGTTGATAAACTATTTTATTTTTATTTATTATTGCAAAACTGAAATACCATGTTCTTAGTCAAACCCAAAAAAAAAAAAAAAAAGTTACAATATTTTCAAATGAATTTCATAAAAGATGATTAATTTATTGAAACATAGCTAATTAAAACTTAAAACTATGGATTTGCCTTCGAAAAACACAATTATTTTGGCAAATAGATTTAAGTGGTCATTTTATGGAAGCTTTTTAATAATTTTAAAAAGAAGGGTACTTCAAATTTTAGAGATTCAACCTCTGGTAGATCATTTCAGAATGTGTTGGTTCCGAGTCTAACCGAGGTTTCAGGAGAGAGGATGCTCTTTCTTCTTCATAAATTATCAGCTCCCTCTTCCCCTTCAACTACCCTCCTCCTTTTCTCTATTCTTCAGTTTCATATCCTTCCTCCACACTCCTTTTCAACAGCTCTATGAGCCATACTTTTCATATCACTTGAGCTTTCCTGTATTCGTATCTTGTTTTCATTGCATGGCCACAAGATTCAAGCCCAACATTTCCTCTTTACATTAAGAAACCCTGTAGATTTGAATTTCTGATCTAAACTCACCATTTCATAGTACATCTCCAGAGGCAAACCCATTGTATTTTCCCTATCAAACACCCATTACTCCATTGAAGATTCCTTGTCGACCCTTCTCTCCGTTCCTCTTCCACCCACTACCAGAAGTCAACTTGCCATATCCATCCCCAAACCTCTTCATTAGCCATTTGTTCTTCTTAGCAATGAGTGTACTAATGTTATCTATAAACACGATAACTATTTTGTTGCCTTTGGTTGTCACTCTTGAATCTTTTTCCTTGAGCGATGATCCACCCCTGTTTACTCTCGCGTTCAGTAAGTGACGGAGACTTATTTTAATATTTAGTTGACAAATCATTATTATAGTATAATTATAACTACTAGGAAGTTTCATAGCTAAGGGTTACGGATCAAGATCACAATTTTGCTTGTACTAACTAATTTCACTTGTAAGGCCATTGCACTTTTACTCACAATCGTGAACATATAATTAGTCACTATAAGAAATATGGGAATTCGCTTTGGATTTTTGGGCTTTCAGTTCGGGTCTATTCCGCTGCAGACATCAAGACAGTCGCACATCTACTGGTAGCAGAGGCGTCGAGGAAAACCCGTGTATACATGCATTTCACTTTCAGACATCTATAAACATGTATACACACATAAATACATACATTTTCATTTTTATGAATTTCTAACAGCATTCTGCATTACAATTTAAGGAAAAGTTTATATAGGACTCTGAACATCGTAAATGGTCATCTTCAAGATTTATCCATTAATATTTCACTGGCAATGTTCACCAAAATCTGCAGAAAAGCAGTGAAAACATCATAGAGATGTATACCAACAGAAAATATCATTTTTTCATTTGTGTATATGCATATACATAAGAGAGAGACCATAAGATTGTGAATGGCGGGTATTTGTTTGGGTTATAATCAATTGAAAATGGTAAAAGGATGAACTGAATACCACGAATTAGACTTAAACATACATTTAGAATTTTAAGAATTATATAATTTCTATATATATTCATACATTTGAAGATTTTTTTTTTTGCACTAACCATGAACAAAAAAATATGAGTTTTCTATTAGTCTCTCCTTCTATATCCAACAAAGTATTACTTGGAGTTAGTTTATCTTTTAAATTTTTCCAACACACTCATCTGTAGAAACAAGACAAAGTCCCATCAACATTACAAATTAAAATTATCTTTACCAGTTACAGAACTTTTTTAACTGCTGGTAGTCACCCCCACACTTCTTTTCTCGGACAAGTATGCATAAGAATCTGGCATGACACAGAATATTGCTTGAATATGCAAATAATCAAAATTATTGGGGGGGGGGGGGGGGGGGGGGGGACACAGAACAATATCAACTACATTTAATTTATAGGTAACAATTTAGTACTTAGATTGAATCACGATAAAAAGAACTCAGATTGCTATATATAAAAAAATAAATGAGTTCCATACATCAAATATGATGTTAAACATTTTTTTCTTTGATTTCACCTCTCATTTTCACAGGAAAAAATTGATCAATTATGAACTGTTAAAATATAAATATATATACAATCCTTTGATTTGTGATATGTAGTTGAAAATGATGTGAACTCCCACTATTGCCATCTCATTTAACTACAATTCAATTAAATAGTCATAATGAAGAAAAATTCAAGAAGTACAAAGTAAAAACTTGCTTGTATTTTTCAGTTTATGAAGTGATTTTTACTAATATCATGATTTATAAAATTTCAAAAGAGATATAAAATTTGCTTAAAACTGAGTATTGATGCAATGACCAAACCAAGTTTATGCAAGTTTTGAATCTTAAGAGAGAATTTAAAAATCAATTGAAGAAGAAATTAGAAGGAATCAAAGAGTATGTTAACAAGTTTATGACAATTGTTAGCAAAATTAGATTATTTGGTGAAGAGTTTTCCGATAGTAGAATTGTTGAAAAAATTCTTGTGAACTTATTAGAAAAGTTTGAATAAAAGATTTCATAACTTGAAAATTCTAAAGATCTCTTAAAAATTACTGTTGTAGAATTAATTAATATTTTATAAGCTGTAGAGAAAAAAAGAGCAATGATAAATAAAAAAATAATTGAGGAAGTCTTCATTGTCCAAACATCAAACAATCTTCATCAATATTAAAAAAAAAATTTCCATCATGCAGAATATGCAAGAAAAATAATTATAATGAAAAAAACTGTTGGCTTAAATAAATCAAAATATTTTTATTGTAAAAAAATTAGATATATACAAAAAAAAATGTAGGTTGAAAATTGAGCAAGTAAATGTTGCTTTGAAGAAGAAGAATATTTTTTTTTTTTGAAAATTGAGTACAAGTACTTTAAAAGATTTTGATGAGAAGTGCTTTAAAAGATTTTGATAAAAAGTGCATCAAATAATTGAATATTGATGAGAAGTGCATTAATAATCGGAGATTAGTGATAAATGTATCAACAATTGAAAAGAAATGTTTCAAAATATAAAACAATACATATTTGAGAGAGGTTTTCTAAGGAGAAATTTTGTAACACCCCAATTTTTATTTTTATTTTTATTATTATTGGAATTATTTTGATTTTATTTTATCTTAATAATTAATTTATTAATTAATAATTATATGGTTTTAATTTAATTTAATTTAATTAAATAGAGATAAAAATAATAATAATGATAAAAGGGGTAAAATTATTTTTTAGATTTAATTAAAAATGATTTTGGAAAAAAATGGTGAAAATTTGGATTTTGAGGGTATTTTTGAAAAGAAAATCGAAAACCGGGGGTCAAAATACAATTTAAAAAAATTGTGCCACGTCAGCAGCCCAGTCAGCAGCTCCGGCCAACTAGGACACGCCACGTAGTAGAAACGTTGATGCAGGAAGGCCACGCGGAACGAGCCACGTGGGTGATCCGCGTGCGCGCGATTGGACGGCTGAGATCCATTCCCGTGCGCACAGACGGCCCAGATTTGATCACGCACGGACGGCCCATATTGCACCGCGATGGACGGTTCAGATTTATTTCTAATTTAATCGCGATCGGACGGTCTAGATTAAATCGTGATGGACGGCTTAGGTTAAAAGGGGAAGATTATAAATAATCTTATCCACACCCAACCCCAAACCTTAGCTGTCAGAACCCTCGCCGGAGAAGACAACCTAGCCACCGGAGGAACCGACCACCGCCACCCATCGCCGCACCGGAGCACCTTCCGGCCGCCAAACGAGGTAAAATTTCTTCCCTTAGCTCGGTTTTCGATGTTGAACCCATCTGTGGCCAAATCGGAGCCAAACCACCAGTCAATTGGCTGAAAAACACCGCCGAAGCCCAGCGGCGCCGCCGCGGGTTTCGTCAATTTTTATCTCCGATGAGGCCCTTCCCGATTTTTGTTCGATGTAATTTTTAGACCACTATGATCACCTTCCTTTTCTCTACAGGTGACCGGAATAAAATACCAAACCGTGACTTGCGCTGGAAGAGCCGTCGTACCCGAGAGCTTCACCGCCGGTAAGTCTCGGTTTTCTGGATTTTTTTGGCCCACCGAGGGCCTTAGGGGTGTTTTATCACAGGAACCAATGCAAATTTGGCCGAATTCAGCCGAAAACGGCCGAAAACGGACAACTCGAGGCGTATCGCCACTGCAAACGGCGGCACTGTCACTCGAGCATGGCGGAGCCACCGTGCCGGAATTTCAAAATTGGCCGAATAGGCCCTGGGTA